CACAGAACACGTCCTCTCATGTTACCATATCAAATATTATAAAACTGACCTTTAGTCTTTACAAAGTGACCTGTCTTGGCTGTGTTTTAGTAGACTAGTATTTTGTAAAATACAGTCACATTTCCATTATTATACATTACATATGTATATAGATTAGTACTATTAAGAAATAAGTTCTTAAACTTATTTTTCTTAAAACATTAAATAAAGAAGTAAAGCAAACAATTATCTCTTCTAGTTACGACCTTTGTACTTGGTTGCTAAGCCTTTTAAAATTATGCACATGGAGGATATAAAACAAAATATTTTTTTTAGGTTTTATATATACATTTGAATAACTAAAAAATCATAACTTACTACATTTTACGACCTTACAGCAGATGATTGAACCATTATTAATGAAACCAGACTTTCAAAATAGGTATAGGCAAAGTTTAAATGTCAATTGATAGAACAGGTTACATAAACTGTGGCAAAGTTTAAATGTCATTCGATAGAACAAGTTATATAAACCGTTTATGTCTATGTACAGTGAGTAAAATGGTGTGAGTATTAATTTATGGTTTTGTGGGATGATGAGAACAACTAGCTCAAACAGAGAAGAACAATGGGAAGTAGTGGGAACTTGCAAAGACTCGGGCACAATTCAGATCTGAGTTTTTTTTATAGTTTCTTTAGATGTTCTTTGAATTTTTGAAAATGTATTTGTATTCAGTTATATTTCTTTGATGCTATGGAAATTTATTTTGTGACAAGACATAGAAAGTATGGTAGGTGACAGTAAAATATTCCAATAACTCAACTCCTTACTTATTGAGTATTATTATCAAGTTTATTGTTTTCAAACAATACATAAATAAATAAACTTCTTATTCATGAAAAAGTAGGTACATTTATTACATATAAATTGATTTTTGATCAAAAATATTCGTAGTAAAAACGAATAGTCTGTGCTATATCCATTTTTAAATGTCAGGTCCTATAGGGGTCACTGATAAATCGTGTTAGTTTCTGCATTTTTTTATGATTTATAGCCAGAAGTGATGACTACTTTGATCAGTTCACTAGGAAGTTTTGTAAAAATAATAGTTTCAAAATGTAGATTTTTTCATGTTAACCTTGCTTTATTTTCTTCAAATTTTATCTCTTGAATAATGATAAAGGAGCTGTACTTATTTTAAAGTATCGTAACACTGTTTTCAGGTTGTGGTGGGTGATAAAGTGGTACTTACACCAGTCAACGCAGGACAGCCACTTCATGCTAGTGCCCATGAACTACCTGACAATCCTGGTTGTAAGGAGGTGGGTTTACTTATGTAGCCATATTTTTGTGAAGTAAAATACTTTGCTGCTCTTTACACCTTTAATATTTTGCTTACTATCTATAAATAACTTCAGGTTTAAAAGAACGTGTATACTGATGTTAATTCACCCAAAAGGAAATAGTGAACATGCCTTTGTTAGTACTAGAAAAATTAATATTGATTGTTTCATCTTTATGAAATGATTTGTACAATTGTAAACACGGCAGAAGTTAAATACATCACATTATCTAATTCAGTTTGAACAAATTAAGGGATGGAGTTATTTCATATTTCTAACATTTTGAAATAAAAATATTATTTTATACAAGAACTATGTAGTTCTTACTTCATTCAGTAAGCCAGTTTTCTGAAGGGTTTAAGAATGTTAGTGCTCATTACCATATAATTAGATTTGTTTTGCTTCTTCATTTCTCACTTTATTTAGCTGTTGAAGTTGACGTGTTTATATATTACTTTCTTTAAGGTAGCATTAGTAACTTTGGAATAAAATGCTTGATTTAACGAATGCCATAGTACATTCTAAAAGCAAATTCCAGGAAGAGTCTACTGAAGCTTTTAACATGTAAATTAAAAAGTTAAACTGTGTAGCGTCTTTCCAATTGATATGGTGTAAGGCTGAGAGTATATATTAAATTCGAAATTCACCACTGAACCTAGCGTGACATTCATTGATGACTGTCTTGTTTATTCAGTTCATGAATTGAAATAAACTTCAAAAATGTAACATGACATTCCAAAATTCAAATTTTTTTTTGTTTATATATAGAATATATAAATACATATTATATAAGTGACTGATTTATGCAGTCATTCTCTTTTGAAGTTTTTAGTTTTACTTTTAAAATAGAATACAGTTATTATTGGTTGCATACTTTAATTTTAACCTGCAGGTGAATGCAGTTAATTCCAACACTAGCTGGAAAATCTCTCTGTTCTTAGAGTACAAGGAGAATATGGATGATGTTTTGAAAGGGGTGAGAAAAATGTATTTATTTTATAATGAATGAAATGTAGCAACTCTTCTGATAGATAATAAATATTTAAGTAAAATGTAAAATTTTCTTTCTCAGATGACAAACTTTTTACTTGTACTATATCCAAACTGCTTCATAGAATTTGAAGCATGCTTGAATTCACATGTTGGAATAAAAAGTGTATTTAGATTATTATGAAGGTTTTATTTAAAACTAGCAAAAGTACCCATCTTCACTCAGGTTATTAGGTTGATATATTCCAGATGACTATGTCAATGTGTGTATTCTGGACCTATTTTGGCATAGAAGAATAGTCAAAAATATTTTAAATGTATTTTTATTTCCTAGAAACATAAATTCATAAAGATACAATAATAATAAAATTATTACAGATGCCACTATATGTCACGTTATCTAACCTATATAAAAGCCAGTGTATGTTGCATCACATCGTACTTGATTTCTTGAAATAAGAGAAGTCATAAAAGCCAAAATGCATTTAGCCAGATAGAATAGTTTGTTTAATGTTTGCCCATTACATTTTTAGTAATAGGGTGCAAGGGAACCATGAAGGGGGGTTGCTGTGAAACCTTGTAAGGGTAGTGAATATTGGTATGATAGAAAGAAATTAATAAATAAGCCTAAAGTAAGGACATAGTGTGAGATAACCTAGCCTAGAGCCAAGTGCATAAAATGTATCATGCAGGTAAAAATATCGATCCAATTTCAAACTTAAATCATTTCTTAATTTATTCAATGGAGACTCTAAATTAAGAAATCAACAAATATTTTTTTCAATTTTGTAGTTTATACATTTCATTTTATAATTTCA